TATTCTGCTAATCACCTCTGTAGTTATCTGGGAAATTATTTCTGTTTTGTATTATCCCATAGCCTCATTTATCTGTTTTATCACTTCCTCTGCTATCAGTTCACATTGTCAGAGTGGTTGATTATCAGACTTTTCCGTCTTGTTTCCCCCAGAATTTGCCTTTGATAAGCTGAAAGACTATGTCTTGCTTAAATGTCTTTTCATTTCTGTTATTACTGTTAGTATAGTCCTTGGTTTAATTCCTTGTTTGATACTTCAATATTACTTACTGTAAGTATCTTTGTTGCTTGTATTTAGAACCCTTAAGGAATGATACCTTCTCAGGGGTGTCTTCCAGATATAGATGGTCTTTAGGTTTCGAGTCTCATGACGCTGGGACAATCTCGTTTTCATTATACCAGGAAAGATAACCAATTAGTTATCAGTTATCAATCTCAACAGTAGCCCAGGTGATACAATCAACAACAGTAGAATCAAGCACAGCTTAGAAAATGACAGTTTGTGGTTGTTTTTAATCTATCACCTTTAACCATGTGAAATAAAACAAAATTGAAGACTAGCCCAAAATATGTTTATAATGAATAAACTGATCAATATAGTAACTTTACCCTTTGGGATGGGGACTTAGAAGAAGTAAGGCCCTCTTACTATTCTTCACTTCTGCTCTATTTCAGAGAGCAATGTCCTTTAAGACCCCCTGTGCCTCTCCAGTGTAGATGAGGTACAGGTGTAGCCAGGAGGCCAGGGGCCAGGGGGGCAGGGTGGGGGGAGGGTTGCTGGCTTCACTGCTCTATTGGTGGTGGGGAGGCCTGGGTGGGAGAGGGGTTGCACCAATTGCTTCACACAGCTCCAGTCCTCACCAGTCCACTGGTGGCAGGGCGGCCTGAGTCACCATCAGAATTCTTGGGTGACTGAGTGCATTGACAGTAAGCAGTAATATTTTAAAAGAAATCTTGTAATGAGTCATAGATCTGAATGGGGCTTAAAATGTGCATTAAACCATGTTGTGAACAGATGTACTGTAATGCACGCTTTGTTGACCTAGTTACAAATTACTAGCAGAGTATATTGAGTATAATTCTTAAAGACCATTGGATTTTCGGATTGATACATGAGCATTGGCTTCAACGTAAACGTTTGCATTCAGACTCTAACAGAAGTCAACCTGTCTTTGAATTCAGTAACAGTTTTGTCTACTTACAGTTCTAGATGACATCATCTTACAGTATAAGACGATCTCATCCATGTTGACAATCTGTTGGTTAGTGTAGTCACATTGACTAATTGTCCCAGCTAGATTTTCTGGATAATTTATTGCAGCTTCTATGCCTGTACTTGGTGCTCCACCTTGCAGTTCAGTGTTATAGAGTAAATTTCGTGAACCAACTTCTAGTTTCAAGCTTTTCTGCTGTAGCTTCCTCATCTCTCTCAAGAGAAAAGGCTTCTCATAGAGTTACGACCTTGCTCAGGATTAAGCTTGTTTAAATGAAATGGTGTGACTAGTTTGATTTTCCATCCATACTACATTCTCTACTTTAGTAGAAAGCCTGTTTTGCTTTCTTTTTCGTTTATGTGTTCACTGGAGTTCTGCAAGTACTTTTCTTTTGGATACAATACGACTGTTATCTGAGCTTTTCATGGTTTCCTCACTAAGTTTAATTATTTCTAACTATTGATTTAATGAGAGATGTGTGACTCTTCCTTTCACCTAAAGACTTATAGGCAATCATAGGGTTATGTATTGGCCTGATTTCAATATCATTGTGTCTTAGAGAATAGGAAGGCCCAAGGAAAGGAAGAAAGATGGGGACTAGGCAGACAGTGGAACAGTCAAAACACACAGTATTTATCAATTAAATTCACTATCTTTTATTGTATAGTTTTAGTGTCTCAAAACAATTGCAATAGTAATATCAAAGTGCATAAATCATTATTAACAGATACAAAGAAAAAGTTTAAACTATTGTTAAGAATTAAGAAATATGGTACAAAGACATGAAGTGAGCACATGCTGTTGGAAAAATGTGTCAGTATACTTGCTCGATGCAGGATTACCGCAGACCTTTAATTTGTTAAAAAATATCATATCTGGGAAGCAGAATAAATTAAAGCACAATAAAATGAGCTATGCCTGTATAAAGCAACAGTAAGACAATGTAATGATATAATGATAAACATATAGGTCAACAGAATGGAAATATAGCCACAAACACATGGTCATTTGATTTTACAAAGGTGACAACATAATGGAAAAAAGAATACCCTTCTCAACAAATAGTACTAAAACTGCTGTATTAGTCCACTTTCTCTTATTGTAACGAAATAACCAACGCTCAATATTTTGTAGAGATTTACTTAGCTCACATTTTGAAAGCTGCAATTTCAAAATACCATAATGCTGGCTGATGAGGTCACCATTAGCTCTATCACACCAGGCAGAATGCATTTGAGAGAGAAGGCAGAGGCAAAAATCAAATGCCAAGACAGGTAGCCAAGTTTTATTTTTTCATAACAACCTTCTCCTAAGAACTAACCAGAGTTCCAAGAGAGTGATATCAGCTCTTTCTGCAAGCGGAGCCTTCTCAATAGGCTCCACTTCATACAGATTCTACTATTTAACATTGCCACTCTGAGAAGGAAGATTCCAGTACATAAGCATTTGGGGAACAAGCTCAAACCAGACCTGCATCATATCAGAGTTATATTCATGGGTAAATACAGCAACAAAACCAAAAACCTAACTTAGATCCTTGTGTCAGTCACACCCACAGACTAAATTTAAATTGATCTTCGAGGTAACTATAAAAATAAAATTTCCAAATAAAATATTTAAATTTTAAAGGAAAGATTTCTTAGATGTGAAATCAAAAGCATAATCCATAAAGGAAAGAAATTTGACGATTTGGTGCCAAAATTTAAAACTTACTTTTCAAAAGTCATCATTAACAAAATGAAAATACAGACTACAGACTGAGAAAAGATACTTGTAAATCACATATCTGACAAAGGACTTGGATCCAGAATATGTAGACTCTTAAAATCTCAGTAATAGGACCAGCAAACAGATTTTTAGAAGAGGCAAAGAATATATCCAAGTGACCAATAAACACGTTAAAGATACTCATTCTTAACTAGTCTTTAAGAAGATGAGAAATTAAACCACAGAGAGATGGCACTATACCCACTGAAACTCTAAGAACTAACCGTACCAGGTATTATTGAGGTTGTAAAGAAACTGGATCTCTTTTGCATTTTCAGTGAGAAACAATTTGATGTGTTTACTTACAAAGGTAAACATAGAGATAGCATGTGATTTAGCAATAACACCGGGATTTGTGGAAAAGCAAAACTTCCGTTCACACACAGACTCATATATGAATGTTTATGGAATCATTATCATAAGTCAAAAACTGGAAACAATTCATGTGTTCATAACCTGGTAAATCTGTGAACAAGCTGTGATATATGCCTATAAAATGAAATATTAATCAGCATTAAAAGGGAACAAACCACTGATCCATAAAACAACATGAGTAAGTTGGAAAACATTCATGGAGATTTTTTATAAGATTACTGCAGTAAAAGATACATTACCATTAACTCTCCTCAGAAACCTGCTCTCTGCAAAATACATTTATTTCAATGTTCTTGCCACTTTCTGAAGTAGCTCTGAAATTGCTCTTTCATAACTGTCTTTAGTTGCACTGTTGTGGCTTCCCCAATGTCCTAAATAGGTTCAAAAGCTTTACTTTTCATGGTTATTTTGACTTTGGAGAAGGAAGAGCTAGAAGTTGTGTGGTGTGCCAGATCTGGTGGATGAAGTGGATGAGGATACACTGTGATATTTTATTCAACAGAAATTGACATAAGCATTATGAATCAATTCAGAACATTGAGCCCCCATGAAAAGACCTGGAAGAAGGCTTCCTGAATTGCTTCAGAATGTACCAAGAACAATGGCATGTGTGTTCAAAGCTTAAGGACAGTGTGTCTTTTACTGTAATAAACGTTATTTTTGTTTAAATAGTCATCATATTGTCTCTCATACTTTGTATACTAACTGAAAGAAGCCTGACACAAGAGTGCATATTGTATTAATCAGTTTATGTGAAACTTCTGGAAGAAAACACAACTCTAGAGAGAGAAAGTAGATTTATAGTTGCCAGGGGCTAGGTCCAAGGACATGAAAACAGATTGACTGCAGGTGGTAATGGAACTTGTGAGAAGTAATGAATTTGTTTTACAGTGAGACTGCATGATAACTGCATATTTCAATAAATTTACTAAAACATCAAACTATAGACTTAGAGTGGGTGAATTTTATGGTATGTTAATTATGTATTGTTAAAGCTACCTTAAGAAGCTGTATGTTAATTTATGAATCTATATGTTAATTTATGAAAATATAATTTATAAAAATAAAAAACACAAAAATGTTAAAGATGGCTACCTAGGTTTTGGAATTATAGGCTCTTTTTATTTTTTTATTTTTCATATTTTTGGGGGTAATGAATATATGTTTGCTCTTCTGGTTAAAAATGTTAAGTAAGCCAGGCGTGGTGGCACATGCCTGTAATCCCAGCACTAGGGAGGCTGAGGCAGGAGGATCAATGTGAATTCGAGGCCAGCCTGGGCTACATAGTGAGTTCCAGGTCAGTCTCAACTCCATAATGAGATCCTGTCTCAAAATACAAAAAAAAAAAAAAAATGTTAAATAAGCCAGGGATTTATCTCAGTGGAGCTGCCACGTGCTGCCCCCTGCCTTGCAAGTGCAAGGTCCTGCATTCAATCCCCAGTACCAAAAAAAAATGTTAAATAAGCAAAATTGCCTTTTAGAATGTTGGGAAGAAATTTTTAGCTTTTCTGAAAAAGTAGGAAATCCAAAAATTTTAAATTAATTTTTAAATGTAAGGTTAAATAAAGAATATTAGGCTACTTACTATTCAGAGTTCAAATTCTACTGATTTGATATAATTTGATTTTTTTTTTTTCCTCTCTAGTGTATGTCTGCCTCCTATCAAGAAGCTAAAACATTATTGAAATCCTACTTAAAGCAACATGGCTATGGCTCCTGGATTGTGAAATCTCCCGATATAGAACAGTTTAATATGTGAATTAGACAATTTCTTGTCATATTAAACATCTTTTATCTTTTGAGGTGTTTTGACTGGTAAAAATCTTTTTAAAATATTGGAGGTTTTCAACTTTCAAAATCAGTCTCTTGCACCAGCGTGTCTGGGTATTGCTAAAAATTAGTGCATCTTCATGTCAACTTACATTGGAACATTAGGAATTTTTAAGCATTTTTCATTTGTGTTTGAAAAAGAATAACCTGATTCAGTGTGTACACATTTTCATATTTTACACAAACATAAAATCATTACTCTTCTGCAGTTTGAAAGAGAATTCATTTTCTCAAGATTTTGATTTGAAATCTTGTAATCTGCATGGCTGGAATGATCAACATTGTTTCTGATATCATTTAAATTTTATGAAACATAGAAACAAAGAATAAAAAGAATTTGTATTCGTTTATTCAACAGGCATTTAAGTGCTTAATTTTTTCCACTCATTATGCTATAGTAATATAGCAACTAAAAGATTTCTCAAAGAAGTTCAAGAATGCATGCTACACATACAAACACAGAACAATGTTAAAAACATATTTTAAAAAACATATTAGGTAAAAAGCCATTTGGTATAATTAATAATAGAAATTCATATATACTTTAAATAAGATTGCCCATTTTCATCAATGCTATATGATCTATTTGTACCAAATGCTACTTCATTCTTCATAATTTAGATTAATAGGGATTTCTAATGTGTAGGTTAAAAAAACTTTTAGCTTAGTATTGATGTTTATTTTTTCATCAGGTAACCTAAAAACGAAAGTTTACTCTTCAGTTAAGATAATATATTATTAGTTCTGGGGATTTACCTCAGTGGTTCCGCTGTCTGCCTTGCAAGCGCAAGGACCCAAGTTTGATGCCCGGTACCAAAAAAAAAAAAAAAAAAAAAAAAAATAAAA